TGGGAATTATATCTAAAAAAATAAATATTAAAAATATCACTTTATTTAATATTAATTGATGAAAATATATCTAAACAACATTTTACAGGATTTAGGAGAAAATTTCCCAGCCGGGGCCTTATAAATAACCGCCCTCACCCCCATCCCACCTCACTCCGTCCGGCCTATTTGCAGCCTTCAGCATGGCAGACCCCTCAAGGAACAACCTGCCTTCTGGTGCAAAACCCACCCGGCATCCAGCAGCCAAGAGTTCACATATTCACATGAGAGGATTTTATGTAACCGTTTTGATTAAAAAAAAAAGAAAAGAAAATTCAGCGTTACAAAGAAATTGTGGAAAGCGATGCTCTAAAAACTAGCATTGCCCGTATATGGACAAAAAAGGAATTCATGCTATCATGATAGAAAAGTGTATGAAGAGTGTCTTTTCTAGATTACCGTGTCTTGTGTAAGGAAATTGTGAAAACAAATTCTAGTCAATTGTGGTTCCCTTCAAAAGCAATCAGCAATCAACATTTGTCTGCTCAAGTTTTGCACCATCAGCTACATGAAGGCCAATTATGTCATTGAGTATCAACTATTGATTGCATCTGTTTATATATTTTCTAAGAAATTATGAATTCTATAGAGTAAAGAGTTATTAATTGAACATGTGTTTAATCTAACCATTAATTCATGGTATTATTATTGGTACCTCTATTAGTGTTGACGGCATATGGACAAAGAAAGAATTCATGCGATCATGATAATTTGGTATATATAACTACGTTTATTTTGACATGTCCACAATTTAGAAATTCTACGAAAACAATTATTAAGTTTTATAATGATTGCATGAATTCTTTTTTTATCCGTATACTGTCAATACTAGTTTTTAGAGCATTACTTTCCATAAGAATTCATGCCATCATGATAGCATGAATTCTTTGTGTGTCCATATGCCATCCATACTAGTTTTTAGAGCATCGCTTTCCATAAGAATTCATGCCATCATGATGGCATGAATTCTTTCTTTGTCCACGTGAAGTTAATACCAGTTTTTAGAGCATCACTTTCCATAATTTCCTTGTAATGCTGACTTTTCTTTTTTTTTTCTTTTTTTCTTTTCTATGAAAACGGTTATATAAAATCATACTTTTATTTTATTCCAATAATTTGATATATGTAACTACATTTATTTTATCATGTCAATAATTTGAGAACTCTATTAAAAAAGTTATTAAGTTTTATAATGATAGCATGAATTCTTTCTTTGTCCATATGCAGTCAATGCTAGTTTTTAAAGCGTCACTTTCTATAATAATACTAGTTTTGATTAATAAAACAGTCAAAACTTACTCATGATTTTTTATTTTAATTATTTCGTTCCTTCAACAAAAAAGAAAGAAAATGGAAATCAAGAGAGATGTTGGAATCTGCAGGTTTAAAGTACAACAGATCAAGAAAGAAGATATAATCAAGATCGATCGAATCTACATATCATACAATGCTACTTAATTACTACTTTCATATATAAGAGCAAAGCTAAGGGAACTAACATTCATGATTCATCATCATCACCATTCACTTTAATTTTAGTAAGATGAGGAAAAAAAAAAAAGTTGAAACCCCATAGACATATGGAAACGAACACCAAACAAGAGACTCATTAAGCCTAACCACTTTCATTCTCATCAAACCCCACTGACGTGTTCCATTTCCTTTCAAAAACCAAAAAGAAAGAAGTTAAGAGAAAGAGAAACTCGCTGCTTCACTGGCGGAGGGTGAGGTCAATATCGGCAGAAGAATCATCCACATCGGTGGTAGGGGAGAGAGCGTCAGGAGTAGTGGTGACAAGGAAATAGCGGAGATGAGATTATGGGCGGCTGGATGTGTTCCGGCCACACGTTAAAAGACACAACTGCTTGGTATTGCTCCTGATGAGTGGCCGGAAAGTTTTACCAAGCTGCTCACGCGTGCTTGTGAGCGTTCTGGTGCCCGGCGAGCGCTTGAGGGGAGTCAAAGAGCCTGGAGCAGTGGGGACAAGGAAATAGCGGAGATGAGATTATGGGCGGCTGGATGTGCTCCGGCCACACGTTAAAAGACACAGCTGCTTGGTATTGCTGCTGATGAGTGGCCGGAAAGTTTTGCTGAGCTGCTCGCGCGTGCTTGTGAGCGTTCTGGTGCCCGGCGAGCGCTTGAGGGGAGTCAAAGAGCCTGGAGCAGTGGGGACAAGGAAATAGCGGAGATGAGATTATGGGCGGCTGGATGTGTTCTGGCCACACGTTAAAAGACACGGCTGCTTGGTATTGCTGCTGATGAGTGGCCAGAAAGTTTCGCTGAGCTGCTCGCTCGTCTTTGTGCGCGTTCTGATGCCCGGCGAGCGCTTGAGGGGAGTCAAACTGCCGGAAGCAGCGGCGACAAGGAAATCGCGGAGATAAGGTGATGGACGGAGTTGCTGCATGCCTGGTGGGGTTTGCAGCAGAAGGCAGGTTGTTCCTTGAGGGGTTTGCCATGCTGAAGGCTGCAAATAGGCGGGGAGGAGTGAGGTGGGATGGGAGTGAGGTGGGATGGGGGTTATTTATAAGGCCCGGACTGGGAAATTTTCTCCTAAATCCTGTAAAATGTTGTTTAGATATATTTTCATCAATTAATATTAAATAAAGTGATATTTTTAATATTTATTTTTT